GCTTAAGGATATAATTAGCATCATTCCAGGAGGTAATGACCACAGCCAATGCCGAGCAGAATTCAACCATTTAAAAGGCAACCATCGCTGCTCTGCAAGCTGATATCGTGTTGATTAAACGACATTAACGCTTAGCGAATCGTCAACGGGGAATGCGGCACATAAAAAATGCAAAGAAGTGTCTCAGACGTTACATAAAGAAATTAAACAGTGTAAAATCATTGACAAACGATGTCAACAAGCGCCTTATTGAGACGGAGTCCAAAATCGAGATTGATGTACGGCGCGTGTAAGCATATATACACCAGAATCAAGAAAAATCAAAATCAAAAACAGGAATCGGTGATTTACTTTCATCTGAATTTCAAAATGCTAAAACGCGCAGAGTTTATAACATTTCAAACGAGTCTGGTCTATCGGCAAAGTGACAGATATAGGCTCAATGCCACCACCAAACAAACATGAACCTATATACCAACCTCGGGCTTCGGAAGAGCGGGCTTTGCATGCCCCACTTATGTCATATGTTCCATATGTTGCAACCCCTGCCGATACTATTATAACTGATAGAAGTAAGCAAAAACACAAAAGAACATGTTGCACCACGTTTCAGAAAAAACAATATAAATGTGAAAAGAAATGATAACAACTCGGCTGTAATACGCATCAACTCGGTCGTGTAATAGACCGACAGCAGCAGAATTATCTACTGCGGCGAGATACTAAAGGAACCTATTAACAATATTATTGTACTACATAACCCTAAATGTGATCCCACTTGGAACGCGGTCAGTGAACAAACTGAGAATGTTGGTGATTTTTCTCAATATGTGCGCATGCGCACCAAACGATTTTACGTTGGCGGTTTTTAAACCACAAATCACGGAAGCGAAGGCATCATCTTATATCAGATCAAAGGGACCAAAAGTAACAAAAGTATCCATTTTCCGAAATAAGCAGAAACGGACTACGGTTGTTCGCGTAAATGTTGAAAATGACGAAAACGCGCCTATGTTATCTGATGACCCTTACTTCTGGCCTCGTGGTATTATTTGTCGGACCATGGGTGTCTGGGAATAATTATCGTAAAAAAAGAAAGTGTAGAAAGTACAAACACAAGTATGCAATTCATGGACAGCAAATATAATGACTACAAAAGCCATAACAGGCATAGGTACGACACGAACTATAATAGATTTGATGTGTTAGATATCGATGTAGAATAAAATTGCAGTAACCATGGAAACCGGAGCTCAAATATTAAATTTTGCAACTTGGAATGCGAACGGCGTTATGTCTAGTGCTAGCTATTTAAGTGACCTTTTGATATCTCAGAATATTCATATATGCAGACTATCAGAACACTGGCTGTATCGTGCTGACCTGTCCTTTCTTGACACAATAAATACTAACTATATTAGCTATGCAATTTCCGATCCTTCACTGGACACCCTATCACGTAAAAAGGTAGGAAAAGGAAGCTTAGCGTTTATGTGGAGAACAGAAATAAATCATATGATCCCACCTTTAGACTTGAATTCGGAGCAGTGTATAGGAATACAAATTATGACCTCTCCAGAAACTTATGTTTATCTCATTCAGGTGTATTTACCTTGTAAAAATCATTCTATGATGTCATATTCAACATATGTCGAAGAATTAGAGAACGTCATTTGTAAATTTATCAGTAAAGGTACTGTGATCATTTTGGGTGACTTTAATACGGAACTTCCGTCTGTAAGAAGTTCTGACACAGTTATAGACTCTAGAGGTGTTAAACTATTAGATATTACAAGTAATTATAATTTAACCTCTTTAACTACATCATCTATGTGTCAAGGGTGTATTTATAGCAATGTTCCTTACAACTCATATAGAGAAACACTAATTGATCATATTTTTGTTCCAGAATGGTCATTACAAAACTTTATACAATGTGAAATTATAGAAGAAAATTCACTATGTGTCTCTACACATAGACCTATTTTGTGCAAATATGTAATTCCGAGAATTGAGTGCACACGTCCTAGAGAACAAAAAGACGTCATTAACTGGCACAACGTCAAATCAAAGAATATCGAGGATTATAAGACTTTCCTTGAAAATAGTGATGTTTTACATTTAGCAAATAAGATGCCGATACGTTCAATTTCCGATATTGATGAACTTTACTCTGGAATAGTTGTGATTGTTTAATCTAGCAACAGATTTATTCATACCTAAGGTAAAGTTTAAACCTTACATCAAACCTTACTGGAATGACTAGTCTAAAAAACTGCGCATAAAAATATGGACACAAGCGCGAGCACAATAGATAAACGATAAACGACGGAAAGCCTCGTGACACGACTTCCGGAAGTTACACACGTTTCAAAATAGCCAAGACCCTCTTTCGGAAAACACATCGCCAATCCGTTCTATCTTTCCTAGATAAAGAGGAATGTTTGCTAGACAAAGCATCGGAATTAGATTAAAATGAATTTTGGAGATTGGTTAATAAAAATAATTCAAAAACCAAATATACATCCGGTTTTGAAATGACTTTCAATGGAGTTACTGTATCAGATCCGCAGGAAGTAAACGAGGGTTGGAAAATCTTATTTCTCGCAACTATACTAAATAAAATAATGATGAAAATTTTGATTCTGATTACAAATCATACATTGTATGTAGAAGGTGGACTTGAAACAATTAAAAGTAACTATCGAAGCAAACAACATGCAAAATACATAATCACCGGCGATATTGTAAAAATAGCGCTTAATTCTTGCAAGAAAAGGAAAGCTTGTGGCCAAGACAATCTCTTTTATTAGAACTTCATTTATGGCGGAGATTTATTGATAAAATGTATCACCAAACTTTTCAATCATATGTTTGATTTCTCACACACACCTATAGATATGAAAAAGGCATAATAACAGTTTTATTTAAGGGAGGTAACAACAAGAGAAATGATCCAGCTAGTTACAGAGCTATCTCCCTTTGTTCCGCCTTGTTACAATTATTTGAAAAGGTCGTTCTACAAATTGCAGAAATAGATGGTGGCATTCATTTAAATCCATCACAAGGTGGTTTTCAAAAAAACGTTAGCTGTTTGATGACAGCATTTATGCTTCGCGAATGTGTACAATACTCCATAGAAAATAATTCTCCAATGTATAAATGTTTTTAGATGCGAAACAAGCATTTGATCACACTTGGATTTCTTCATTGTTACTAAAACTGCATCAAATCTAAAGGCTTTATTCCCGACGTGATCAATGTTCTTGGAAAATATAAACTATTTTCATATATACATGACTTTTCAGAAACAGGTTTCTTTCCGTCTAAATATGCTTTGAAAAGAATAATCAAAAAGGCGGTGCACGAGCATGTACTTTGTACTTGGAAATCTAGAGTAGAGCTCGATGACGATATCAACCTTTTTTTAAATATACATTCCACATACGACTTCAGCTCTATATGGATTTTTCAAAGACATTTTCCGGTTTATAAAACACAATGCTTTTCATAGTTCAAACTGATGTGCAAATATTTCGAAAGAAAATATCCTGTTGTGTGTGACTATTGCAAGACTGCAACATACGAATATGCGTTACATGAAGTGTTTCATTGCTTACATTATAATAACATTAGATATAGTCTATGGACAAAACTCATATCTTTACTAGGACACAATTATTTCCGCATGTTAAGCGGTATGAGCATTGAAAACCAACTTATAGAGATGTTAAGTGGGTTCAACAAGTTTTGATATTAATGACAATATACGTATACAATGTTATATCGCAGTTGCCAAATTCTCAACTGAAATATTGTATTAATATCAGCGGTGCCAAAGAAATCTCAGGAAATCGTTAAGAATGATTGTTCTATTTATCCATGCCAATGATTTTCTAACAGTCATATGTCAATTTATATATGCAGATGTTTCATTGCCATATGTAAGCTTTCATATATGATCAATGTTTTGTTAACTATCATGTCATTTGTTTAGGAGGCTAATGATTTATTAGTCATCGTATTAGTATATTAATTTTACTATTGGTGTTTCTGTTTTGTTAAAAATTATATTCTTACTTTGTAGATATTGAATCATATTTGCATTATCATATGTAACTCTTCAGTATTGGAGGAAATAAAGATATATATAATATAATAAGGAACAGTTACTAACAACATATTAGAATAAACATATAAAAACTCTATTTGCTGTTGAATCATCAACTAAATAAAAATATTGGATAAGCGGTGAAGTGTCTTACTGATTTTTTGGTCCATAATATAAAAGAAATTAGGATTCGATGAAACATACACTATTTGATCTTTCAACTTAAATCACAGCATAAATAAAAAATATAAATATCATATCTGAGTATAGCAGGATCATATTACAGGGGTCTCTAAAATAAACATATATTTAATTTGTATTCCTTGGATTTTAATGTTGGGTAAACCTAAAAATCTGCTGTTTGTGTCTATGATGATGTTGCTAAAACACAAAAGACTTTCCTGTCAACAATATTTATATTTTGTCACATTAATTAAGTATTCCGTGATGAAAAACATCTTCAACTTTTTGTCATTGACACAGTATGCTTAATATTGTATAATTATTGTCAGCAAAGAGTGAATCATGATGATGCTACGGAGGTGGGAAGAAATACTACTGATGTGCTTGTAAATGCACGGACTTTGGATTGTTTATTAATACCAAATAAAAAAAATGTTCTGTGAAAAAAATTCCCTTTCACAAAAAAAAAACGAAAAATTTTTTGCCAGTATTCGTGAAAATTCGAAAGTATGCAAATCATCATTTGTGGTACATAAACAAAAGTTATTGCCAAAGTTTCAAGGGAAACCAACGGTGAAAATTTAATTACTGTTGTAGTAAATGTCTTGAATGTATTTATCTTCTTACTTTTACCTGCTAGGAAGTGTTAGGGTCGGGGTTTTTGCTGTTGTTTTGTTTGTTGATAGAAAATAAATGAACACAAAAGTATGTTTTATTACATATAATTTCTTATCATTACATTAATAAATGACTATCTAGTTGATATACATATTTATTATATACTTATAAATGAAATATTGAGAAATATTGATTAAATAAAATGCATATTTTCATTTTCCGTATTTTCACTGTAAAAATTTATTTTTCACTGCAGTGAAACATATTTTCCGTATTTTCACTGGTGTCTTGCCGGACTACTTTCTTTTAAATTCTGCCAGTACACAAAATCTTTCAAATTTTAATGTCAAAAAAGAGAAAAATGTATATAATAAACAGAAAATTCAAGTTTTTTCTATAAATACACGATTTTATTTTCATCTTGTGGCATGAAAAATTACCATATTTCACTCGTGGCTACCGCCACTCATGAAATATTTATTTTCATACCACTCGATGAAACTAAATCATGTATTTATAGAAAAAAACTTGAATATCCACTATATATATGTTTAATATATGTGTTATTTTCCTGTCCTTATTCTTCCCTCGCTCTTCACATGTTCACTCTTGATTACGCTTTTTCCTACAAGAACTATTCAAATTTGGCCTTCCATCAGGGAGGAAGTCGCACGAAGTCCATTTTTCTAAATTTATCCCTTGAATCTGGCCACAGTCCACTCTTTCATTTCCACTAAAATGAAACAAGTAAATAATAAAGACAAAATTGAGAAACAGTTATATCATGAAGTTGTGCGAATTGACAAACGGCTTGCAAATAAAATTGGAAATAATTGACACTGAGTACTACGTATTAATATAATCATTCAATAAAGCCAGTATATGTATGCTTTGCATTTTTTTAATGAAAACATTACAAAATATTACGTGGCAAACTATACAAAACCAACGTTTTAAATCTAGTAATTTATATTAGTGCTTGCCAATTTTTTTTATCCAATCACCGACGAGGATTTTTCAAATTTTCAGGTTTCAAATCTTAATAGAACAGATTTTATATAAACTGGACGTTTTATATTATAAAACGCAAGTGGGCGGAGCTAAGTTTCGAAGAGCGCTAAAGTGAAATATACGCATGTGCAGAGATCTTGAAGTTTACTCCTACTAATCAATATTTATGCATCATGTTTTTTCCGTACATGCACATGTATATCGTCACTACGGCATAGAATTAAAAAAAGAGGTTCATTGAAATGAAAACAGGCAAAATAACAGTAAAAATGTTTATTACTTACGGAACCAGTATCATTTTATAATTTCCAAATAAAAAGTTCACTTATTCCAACAAACTATGTATGTAATATTTCTTACTTTTATGTAAATATTACAGCCCGTGCCACTGCAAAACCGAAAGTAGGGTGTTTTTTATTAATTTTACATTTATTTTTGACAATATACTGCCATTTGTCCGAAGATGATATGTATATGAACATATTAAATATGTATGATGCATATATAATCAACCTACAGGTTCATTTCAGCCCGAAAATATATGTCGAGGTGACGGGCGAGGCCAGACATGTCGACTTTTTGTAGCTTATTGTGAAGTTGCAGTACATGAAAATCGGGCGCATGACAAATCAGCACATAAATAAAACATTCTAGTATTCCGTGGTATACATCTTTTCTACGTGTCATAGGCCTACCTCCTTTCCTTATTACAATGAATTTTTTACTGCATTGTTATCCATCGCTGGTTTGTTTTTAGCAGAGAATGACATGTGCATGTTCAAAGAGGGTACCGTTTGAGAATATTTCGCAAAGAGGGTACCAATATGGATATGCACCGTGATATTGTCTGATTTACGTAGACAGAATGCGGGAATAAGCTATGCAAAACACGTGACCCGAAAATGTGTACCCTTCCAAATATGGTTATACACATTTAGGCTATCGTGTGACGTCACGCAGTGTGTTGGGCGAAAAAAAATGGGCGGAGCACTAAGCCGGTTAGAGTGCATATTGGATGTTCTTCGTAAATAAGAAAGCTAGTTACTTCGCAAGCTTCGCTCCTTTTTAGCTTTTTTATTTACGAAGAACACCCAATATGCACTCTAACCTATACTTATGTTTAACCATGAATGCTTGAAATATGTGGGGTTTTATAATTTCAGTCAATGAAGTACAATTGGGTAATGAAGCCTGCATAAACGTAGTAAGGATTCAAAACAAGTAATAAAGCTGCATAAGGGTAATAAAAATCTCAGCAGATTAATAAAAGTTCCAACAAGGCAACTTTATAACATACTCTGAATAAAATATTCTAAAAAATTAATGCAAGTGTTATTAAATGCTTGTCTTAATTAATGGATTATTCTATTTATAGACATTTAAATATCATTTTGAAAAATATCTAATGATGATTTATTTATGAAAAACTTGACGAATAAATACACAAGCTAACAGATCAACAAATTTATTCAATAATTAGATGATCAATCAAAGAAGGAGATAAAACAAATACATAATTTACTTACGTTCCGGGTACATGGAATACATCAGGTTGGACTTGACTTACATCAAAATTGTCACACAGTACTCGGGCAAATGATACCTTACGAAGCTCAGTTAGCTGATCTAAATATATAATAATCATGCATTACATCTTTAATCTCATTGGCAATGTTCATTAATTAAATAAATTGCATCTCTATAAGAAGGATCTGTCTTTCAAAAATGCAACAATACAATTATATTCCCGATACATTTTGTAACACAACTTTTGTGTGTTATATTTTTATTTCAAAACTACATAATTAATGCAATAATTGTGTTGTCAGGAAATAAACATAGTCATAACAAGTATTTGAAAGAGTTACTAGGCTACCCTTTTTGTGATACATACCCTTAGAAAACTTTATGATTGGATCTTGTGTCTCGTGCCAGTATCGGTCGCCTTCTCGCAACTTTTTAAATTGTTTTCCTAACAAACAAGCAAATGTTGGCCCCACAGAGCTGTCAGGCAGTAATGTTTTTGTCATTGCGCCGGCAAACAAATCTATGTCATCAACGTGACTGTTAAAATAGAAAAAAGTTTTTGATTATTTTAAAAATTAACTTATTTATAAGCGACATTTAAAATAAAAAATGACTACTGCTATTACTACATACATATAAGTCTTTCACTATTTAATACAATATAGTTATTTAACAAAATTCAAGTAATTTTGCAGCAGATATCTAATGGTAGTGGTCTGATCTAGATTTTTTTTGTTTGTTTACTAGGCCAATACTTTTACCAAATTGTTTTTAATTTACAAAAAAACAAAAACAGCTATGATAAAAAAGTTCTTGTAAACATTTATGCATGACATCAAAGATACTGTAACTCAAATAGTTTTTATGGTTTTATTTCATAAATAAGATGTTCAAATGAAAATTTATCAATATTGTAAGTTCAAAAAAGCATTCTTTGCAAAGATATTACCGAATTTAAATTTTATGTAAATAAAGGCAGAATAGAAATATTTTCGATAAAGTCTAAGCCAAATTTGTCAATAAGAAAAGAATGCATAGATTTAAATAATTACTTATAATATAAATGAACATTTGCAATACATATTTAACATATTCTTGGATGTGTGGAAATTAATTTAGAAGAATAGTTTATTTTTCCTAATCATCTCTGAGATATGCTATAACTTAATTGAAAAGAACTGAGCTCATGTCAATATTGAGGGGTTTCCGATTTGACACGATCCTTATTGACAAAAATGATGTTTTTAAGTGATATAGTAGTTTTTTGTTGTTTTTAGTACCTTTTGTTATACTAAGTTATGTTGGGTATTCATTGACATATTAGTTTTCAATATACCCGTTTGATGGTTTGGCATTATTGTTACAAAGAAACTTTTCATACACTTATTATGTGATGTAGGTAATACATTTACCTGTAGACATTCTGTATCTTGAGTCTTTGTTCTTCCGTATGATCAGGTAATATAAACGATCCATCGTATGCCATATTAGCTTGTCCTTAAATAAAACAGTATCATACTTATAACAATTTGTCTTGTAATAAAAGTAATTTACAGCTAAATAGTCTGCTCTAGTTTTAGAATATAGTCGAATATCTTAAATATCAGCTATTTAAATAAAAGAACTCTTTGTCTTTCAGCATTATGCAATCAACCAAATTATGAAAAAAGTGATTGTTTTGTCATTGTATACACAAGATATGAAATATCACATTGTTATGGCCAGACATGGTCGTAATTTGGTATTATCGTTACAATGGTGTTCTCTTAAAGATGAACGCTTATTTTCAAATGATTATTTTGGTCTTATTTAATGGACACATGTATGTTAGTGGTAGATAATTTGAAATAAAATAACTTAGTGTATATTTGAATTGTTCTAAGAACATATATTTTTTACCAAGGTTACAATGTACTCTCCAGTGGGTTATATCTTATCGGGATATCCCATGATCTCGACGCACGTTGTATATTAAGTGACCGGTAAGATCTAGACTTGTGCTAATTCCGTATTTTTATCCTTAAATAAGAGGAGATTTCTTACCGCCGTCTTCAAAATAATTGCTTTGCAATAATAATAATTAATAATGGGTTCATACTTTCACAAATGTGTTCCTTCGTGTCAGCGGGTATTTAAAAAGTATAATATTCATCACCATTAATTAATTATACCTTTTCCTAGAAATTTTATTAACAACAATTCGATTTCATTCATTAAACCTTTACCATTATGTTCCAGTAATGTGCGCAATAATATATAAAATAGCACCCAGAACTTCGGACATCATATCTTAATAGTGACTTCCCAGTCAGATCAAAGCATTGAACAATCCAAAGCTGTCAGATATTTGTGGGCTTACTGCTTGATATTTATAATGCTTTGAACCCTCCTTTATAAGTATTTGATCAATTAAGTGACTTTTAAAAACCCTTCACATATTTAAAGTATTAAATCATTAGCTGTTTCTTTTAAGAGCTCATATTTATTGCCATTTAAATCATTAATACTTAATTCTATGTTTATACATGACTATATTTTAGCTACTTTACAATTATTTATTTGGTGCCGTTTATAACAATAACACAAAGGTTCAGGCATACATTTGTTGTTCCATTTTGATTAAGATTTTAAACATTGCTATTTTAAATAATACTTACATGATTATTATAATGAACCTCAAGTAAGTAAGTAAGTAAGTAGGTAGGTAGGTAGGTAGGTAGGTAGGTAGGTAGGTAGGTAGGTAGGTAGGTAGGTAGGTTAGGTAGGTAGGTAGGGTAGGTAGGTAGGTAGGTAGGTAGGTAGGTAGGTAGGTAGGTAGGTAGGTAGGTAGGTAGGTAGGTAGGTAGGTAGGTAGGTAGGTAGGTAGGTAGGTAGGTAGGTAGGTAGGTAGGTAGGTAGGTAGTAGGTAGGTAGGTAGGTAGGTAGGTAGGTAGGTAGGTAGGTAGGTAGGTAGGTAGGTAGGTAGGTAGGTAGGTAGGTAGGTAGGTAGGTAGGTAGGTAGGTAGGTAGGTAGGTAGGTAGGTAGGTAGGTAGGTAGGTAGGTAGGTTAGTATGTAGGTAAGTAAGTAAGTAAGTAAATAGGTAAGTAAGTAGGTAAGTAAGTAGGTAAGTAAGAAGGTAAGTTAGTAGGAAGTAAGTGAATAGGTAAGAAGATAAGTAAGTAGGAAAGTAAGTTGGTAAGTAAGTAAGTAAGTAAGTTTGTTTGTTTTGGGTTTTACGTCACATCGACACAGTATAGGTCATATCGCGACGTTCCAGCTTTACTGGTGGAGGAAGACCTCAGGTGCCCTTCCGTGCATAATTTCAGGCACGAACGGGTACCTCAGTAGAACCACCGACGTTCCGTAAGATAGCGGGAAAGCTTCCTCACATGAAAGAAGTAAGTTAGTAAGTAAGTAAGTAAGTAAGTAAGTAAGTGCTTATTGCAATTGCATATAAATGTACAGTGTTCCTTTCAATAGAAATCTAACGGGAACATTAGAATTTGTCTCAATGAGTGTCGGGGAATTCAAACTCAGTCTACTGGCGTTTTTTCTCTTTCTTTTTTCCTTTTTAATATATATGTATAGCTCATGCGTGAGAGTATTTAAATATATGTTACAGAAATTAAATGTGTAAACAAAATAATAATTCTGGCTTTATAATCAGATCAAGTGGCAGTAATACCCTTCTGCAAGAGGTGTTGGGTCATCAATGAGCCATCTTGCGATTCCATCAAGCCCTGCACCGTCGTCAACCTGAATCATGTGTGGCCGATGGAATGTTGTTTCTATCGGATTCTTCTTGGTAAATTGATACTGTTTGCTCATTAAAGCCTGATAGTCTGCTATTTGTGAGTGTCCGAACCTATCACAGATAGTTCAGTTATTAACGAACTTAAAGAGCTTTTTACAGTACATTGAGATTCTTGAATTGTAAGCGGTATTTTATTTATTTTATAATAAACGTTAATAGCACTATCATTTCGTTTTACTTTAATGGAAACGTGGGTTGATGTAATAATAAAAATTAATAAACGATAAATCGGGACGGCACTTTGTGAAATCTACTAAAACATACTATTCGATAGATATCGTTTCGTCATACATTGAATTTTTAATTAAAGTACCTGAACGCTGCCACTGAATAACGCGTTAAAGATTGTCGATTGACAATTTTCTGTAATGATGTTTAAACTTTTCTCCAAGAAGAAAAGCTTATACTGTCATGGCTATCATTGATTTTAATAATTGAGGGAAAGGATATTCGTTGTAGTTTTTACTAAAATGTAAACTTATGTAAAGATCAAAAAGTAAGGACAGCGATGTTGAGATTGTTGTTCACCTCCTTAAATCTTAAAGCAATAATATAACATATCCGTAAAAAGATAGAATTGTTCTAAACAATTACATCGAATACAGCTGAAAAAAATCAAAATTTTCCCCGTAATTTTTTTGCCCCATTATGCGCCTGGCTTGTTGGAAAATTGTCTCTCATCCAAAGGGTTTTATTCCAACAAGCTTTTGCAATTCGGGGATGTTTTCTCATGAAACAGTGTGGCCCAGCCAAAACTGGGACTTACGTTAACACTTTTTGCTCCTAAAGCAAACCAAAATTTAATATACATGGTACATTAATTTTTTTATATGGAGTATAATTAACGAATATAAAAAATTAAATGTCATTGAAGAGATGCACGAGCACTGCAAGTCTTTGGTTAAATTGAAGGGAAAAAATGATAGTGTGATTCAGCTTTTTGTTCGTCATTTCTCCAGAAAAAAAAGCTCAGTAATAAAAAATCTTTAATTGTATTGCCTAATCAGCTAGTGAAGACTGAAGCAATTTGAGCAAGAAATTCGTATAGCTATGGATCAGACTTACGGCAGTAAAAATAAAAAATCGAGAACATAATAAGTTACACTTTTTCAGCTTAATTAATGGTTTCACTATCCTTTAATTTCTATCAAATTTAAATTCTAGGCATCAATTCTAGTTTAAATTTACATACATGTATATAACTAATGACTTTACCTGCCAGAGCACAGTGATCTTTTGGTGCTTCGATTATACACCTGTCATTGGTATCTGGTGGTAATTGTTCGCTGATTGTTTCAATATCTTCGTAAATCTTCAGAAAACCTGTACAGATATGAATATATTCTGTCTAATTCCAGCAAGAGTCTATTGTTATCCGCTATTCTTCAGAAGCACGCAAAGCGAATTGAAATTTGCCCAATATTTTACTTACAAACAAAAAAAGTTTTCTTAACCTATCATTTTGTAGAATAATAATTACACATTTACTTACAGGTATTCTTTAGGCAACATGAAAACTAATTTGGTTCATCTTTTCATATATAACAAAACACTTTTTTAAGTCAATAACTGAAAACGTTTAAACATTCATTGTCTTGTCTTTTGATGCAACAGTATTTCGTTTGCAGTTACATTTTGGTTGCATATAAAAGCATAAATTATACATAATACAGTTTATGCTTTTGGTGTAAGCTGGATATTTAGGCAGCATGAATACTAATTTGATTCATTTTTTCATATATAACAAGACACTTTTTAAAGACTATTACTGCCGAGATGAAATATGACTTCACAGACGGTTTTCCCTATAGTATATTTACACACAGATAAGTCAAGCAGTTGAAGCGTGAAACCATAACGTTGATACATTTGAAAAGAAGAGCAAATAAACCGGTCATATATTCATTGGATCTGTGATGGCAGAGGGGAAAATTGTTTCCAAATACCCACACATCTTTATCTTTTTTGATAACAAAAAACTTACCATTTTCATTTTATCGATTTACATGCTTGACATATATCGATTATACTCGTAACAACACGTGTTGTATTGTCAAAGTAATGCGGATATTTCAACAATCATTAAAACAATTAGTGTTTTACTTGTGTAGTTGATTTAGTAATTGTAAGTATTATTACATTCAGTTTATGAGAGGATATGGTACTGGTATTTTTAATTTTGTCATAATTGTAGATTAACAACAGTCATGTTAACATGACCATCCCCCACCAAACGTGCTTGCTCATTGGAAGAATGTATATGTAATATAGCAGCATAATTCAATTTAAAGAGGTCTTTTATTTCTGAAAAATAATACAGGGTAGGTTATCATTCTTGTGTGCTGCACTCCTCCTCAATGAGATATATCCATGAAGTTTCAAGTTGATACCTCTATCACTTTTTGAGATAAGCTCCAGACAAAAGTATGAAAAATAGAAAAGGGCAATAACTCAAAACTATAAAGGGAAGAGTTATCATTCTTTCGCACAACATTCCTCCTCAATAAGATAAATCCACCTATGAAGTTTCATGTTGATATCTCAGACTTTTTGAGTTATGCTCCACTCAGGTGAAAAATTAAGTATGCAAAATAACCAAGGGCAATACCTCAAAATTATGAAAGGTAAAGTTATCATTCTTATTCATTGCATACCTCCTGACATTTCATGTTGATATCTCAAAGGCTTTTTGAGTTATACTGTGAACAAAAAATAAGTTTGAAAAATAACAAATGGCAATAACTGAAAAATTATACAGGGTAGAGTTATCATTCTTAAGCACTGCACTTCTTCTCAATGACATCTATCTACCTATGAAATTTCGAGTTGATACCTCAAATACTTTTTGAGATATGCTCCGGACAAAACTTTTGGACGGAAGGGGGGACGATAAACGAGGGAGGGGCGGAGGGGAGGGAAGACGGAAAAAGGGTTTGACCATTTTATATGAAAATGTAAAATTAGATTTATTTTTCCCCTATCCCTTTAAACACCTCTTAAATTGAGACTATTCCCCCTATAAAGGGCCAAATTGATTTTCTCAAAGGTTTTTGAGTTATGTTTCGGGATAAAAAAAAAAATTTTGAAAAAATAACAAAGGGCAAAAATAAAAAATTAAAAGCAAAGGTAGGGGTTAAATTGATTCTTGTGCCCCTGAAACAAACCCTTTTAATATGATCTTTTTACATCTTTTGAATTTTCAAGTAGATATCTAAAAAAAATTTTTGAAAATAAAATAAGTAACTGCCCGGGAAAAAAACCTTTAAGCTTTTAAAAATTTAAAAAGGGAAAAAATAACAAATTTAAATTTAACACGGTAGCGTTTATCGTTCTTGTGCGCAGCACTCCTCATCAATATGATCTATCCACATATGAAGCTTCAAGTTGATACCTGTAATACTTTTTAAGATAAGTTCCGGACAAAAAGTATGAAAAATATCAAAGGGTTTTAGTTATGCTCTGGACAAAAATTAAGCATGAAAAATAACAAATGCAATAAATGAAAAATAATGCAGGGTAGGTTATTATTCTTGTGTGCTGCACTCTTCTTCAATGAGATCTATCCACCTATGAAGTTTCATAATGATACATCAAATACATTTTGAGAGATATGCTCCGGACAAAAATGTCGGACGGAAAGACAAATGTACGGTCGAACGGAAGGACGAACGGAGACTTTTTCACACTTCAAGTCAAAAACTAAGTTTTTTCATCGTCAAATATTAGAAGAAATGTTCACCTCTATCTAACGCTCTTAATTGAGGTCCTCATTTTAAACCCAAAAACCCCGACTTTTATATATACGCATTTGGGTTTCATGCCCCGGAAACCAAAAGGGAAAAAAAAGAAAAAAAACCGGAAAAATTTGGTAACTGGGGAAAAATTATATGTTGTTTGAAGTATCACATGTTTTTAACTTTTGCTTCGGTGCATTTTAAAGACATAACGATCGAAATTTACACGTTTTTAGTTTTACAAAATTTTAATGCGACATTGAATGTAATGCAATAAAAAACCTCTAGAAACAAATGCATTTAGAATAAGTGCTAGTATCTGATATTTGATCTTTTTTTCTGTTCAGAAACATCAATTCTTATTTTCGCTACTGTAAGTCATATTCAATAAATCGCCTAACATCTCTTTTAGGAAAATTTATGAGCTGAAAATTATAATTTATTTATCTTACGCAGATATTATCATTTTACCATTTAAAAAACCTGCAAAGTATGTCTAAAACAACTGAATAACTCTTGCTGCAAATTAAAGTATACCTATGTAGCAATAAAAAAGTAGAAATTTACTCCTCCAGCTTATTATTCAAGGTAATATTCTATCTTGGTGTGCAAATGCCCTTGCACAAATATTCAATTACACATTTTAAAACTTGGGGTAAATATCAAATGTCCTAGGCCTAATGCCCGTACTCCAAATATGCACAGGGTTACACCATAACATACCTGGTTCACAATTATGGTCTAGCACTGGAGCTGATCGCACCATACCCATGCAAGTCCTGTTGTAGAATGGATCATCATCTGGTATACGGATAGGGAAACACTCTGTCCTGTTTTAAATACATATAACTGTCATGTTTAGGATGTGATGTTATTTCTTTTTATAAATTGTAATTCCGAATGTTAAAAAATTTAACTCTCAAGGAACAGTTTCCTTCACGTATAATCTTTTGAGAAAGTTTTAGCATAAAGGAAATGTTATGTCATTTCTCATTTTCAGTCTTAGTAGATGATTTCAAAACTGATGTGCACATATAGGATTCAGACGCTTAAAGAAATATAAAACTGCATTAAACTTTGCCAGAGAATAAAAAAAAATCAAGCGAAGCATGTAAAAACATCCATGAATAGCTTACTAGAACAAAATAAAAACTAAAAGCAACTAACCTATTCTCATTTCCTTCACCACAACATTCGATATTAGCTCCAATTGGGTCTGAATTGAAAATGTTTGTGTAAATAACATGTTATCATTTCACTTTTTGTGATAAATCAAGACGTACATTAATGACGGCCTTTCCTTTCAGAAAAATAGCGTAAAATATACTCAATCTTAAAAACATTAAATAGTTGGCTTCTCACGTCAACTTCGAATGTAGGATTTATAAAATCTTATCAGCTGTTAAAGCAATGCATAAAGCTGCCCAATATAATTACGATGATGTCTGCAATGGCGGTGCCTATGTTTTAGTTGTTGTTTTGTTGTGTTTTTTTTTTAATTTTTTTTTTTTTTTGTTTTTTTTTTTTGTTTTTTTTTTTTTTGTTTTTTTTTGGTTTTTTTTGTTTTTTTTTTTTGTTTTTTTTTGCTTATTTTCAGACTATTCCGTTAAATATGAAAAATTACAAATGTAAAAGCCGATTGATATAGATGTAAGGTATGTGAAGTGTAATAAGATAAATAGTAATTCATTTAATTTTGAACATAAGACAAAGTAATTAAAAACAGTTGTGAAAATGAGCGGTATAGAATATCTGTAGACAGAGTTTCTAAAAAGCTTTTCAAGCTTCCTACTAAATCCGTACATTTTTTCCATTTGTCAGCTATATGTAAATGAAATGTTGACAAATAACATATTGTTTACAGTAATAAGTCAAGAACAAATCTACTCGAATGTCTACAATGTAAATGTCTTATATGATTTCAAGCTAAGCGTGTCCTCGTTTTATATAAACCTCCCTACCATAGACATTTTTGGTTATCTTAGTTCCAGCTTAAATAATTTTCAATTGGCAAAGATTCTCTTCTCTAATATTTTGTTATTTGGCACGGTTTAATGCCTTCCCTGAAAGTATCAGACATTCACTGATTTAAAAAAAAAAGTATTACAGTAAAATTTTGTGATTCAGACGCATCATTTTTGCAGTGTATGATTCGGTTCTCTAATACTATGTTCCTTGAATATACCTTTCATTAATGGTGTTGAAACAATGTCATGATCGATGAACTGACCCCACTGCATTACCATCATGGTCAGTTTATCATTTCTTGGCGATTGTCCGTCTGTTTTATGTAGTTCGTTACTGATGGCACGTGCACTTGGCAGCTCTTCACCTGAGACTCCAAAACGTCTTGGGGCGTCAATACCTACAAAACCATATATGCAAACTTGCACTGTATATCAAAACGTCTTGGGGCGTCAATACCTACAAAACCAAATATGCAAACTTGCACTGTATATCAAAACGTCTTGGGGCGTCAATACCTACAAAACCAAATATGCAAACTTGAACTGTATGTCAAAACGTATTTGGGCGTCAATACCTACAAAATCAAATATGCAAACTTGCACTGTATATCAAAACGTCTTGGTGGTCAATACCTACAAAACCAAATATGCAAACTTGCACTGTATATCAAAACGTCTTGGGGCGTCAATACCTACAAAACCAAATATTTTTTATAATAATGTTTTAGGCTTAGCAAGTGTAATGACTGTGTAAAACTATTATTATTTAATTGGAATATGCATTTAAACATTTTTGATGAGCACATTGTGCAAATTTCCATCGAGTTAAAATTCATGGATGAAACAATTAGCACCATGACTTTTAAAATATGTCATGCTGTTAAATATGAAAGATAACACATTTTACAAACCATCAGAATACATAGGTGGTATTTCTCTTGACTGAGGGCACATTACAGCTCCCCAGGTCGGTATTAGTAAATTGTTACACGTTCCATTTATAGTTCTATAATATGAGTTTTCATCACCTGCTTTTTTCTTACAGTTGTGTATGCATTTAAACGGTAAACTGTCGACATCTCATTCATAAAAAGTGCGCGGGAATAACGGCATTCTTAGCACGCGACTAATGTAAACAGTAGATAAACTTGTCTTATATGCAAACAAAATAGGTTGTAAGTCAGAACAGAACATATACTTTATTTAGAATGACACAGATTATAATATACAAGTTTAATGTAATAACATGTGAACAGTCAGTAGACAAAATTAAAGCAAATGGGTATGAACAAATGACAGTAATATTATGTAATGCAAATAATCTTTGAAGGTATTTTTGTTATATGGGTATTGCAGTAAATAGTTTTATCAAACTGTAAAAGCATAAGAAAACAAGTATAGAGATTTGCACGAAATTTACATTTTCTTGATGAATGTGTAATACAGACAGGTGATTTTATTGGATAACGAAAATCATTTATTGCGTTTGTTATTTCATTCATGATAAAAACACAAACAAAACTATAGAGCCATGAGGGAAAAAAAACCTTACAATTTCCTCTTATCTTTTAGTGTTTGACGAAATATGAAGATTATTTAAAGTAGTTCCGAACGTACATGAAAGAAGATCTTTAAATTTGACACGATAACGTGTACATTAATCGGTCAAACCATTATAATATAATGGGTTGTGCAAGTTATTCAGTTATTACATTTAGCACTTTAGCTACAATAAAGAAGCATTAAATTGGATTTAGACACGTAGATCAAAAAAAGAAATAAAGATCACGATATTGAAAAAAGGCATGGAATGATTTAAAGAAGTGCTACTTATGTATTTCAGACTGCTTTCATGTTTAAGTCACATTAAGATTTATTTATTTGATTTTTAAAGTCATGATAATCTAAGCGGTTCTTCTGGCATTAGTTAACAGTATGACAAAAACGGACGTTTTTATGAAAATATAACAGTTATCATATAAATACGATTTTAAATCACAAAATCCATAACAACTTAAACGTTCTAGAAAATTCACAGAACATAAAAATTGTACCAAAAAAAAATCATATCGAAAAAAAAAATAACCTTTCTTTTCAATCGGCGAAAAGACAAAGGTGAATTCCCCAGATTTCTTCCGGAGCTAGGGTTGTTGTTTTTTTTTTACAAAGAATGCTACACAACAACTTTAAAGTAATTTTGTATGTAAATGTAATTCAAAACTTGCCTATAGAGACAGCAAGTACTTAAAGTGGATTGGTCTTCCAATAACTATTTCAAATATCGATAGAAACAGTAGAAATCTATTATCTGGATGTTCTTAAAAATAATTTTTTTAAAAGAATGTTAATAAAGTTTTAAGTGATTAAGTATAAAATTTTATATGATGAACAATTATATTCTGTTCTAGAACACTTTATTATCTACTATACAAATGTAATTATATAATACCAGATCATGTATCTCACATTTATCATCAATATACGTATTTCGTGGTCTGATACAATGTCTATCAACGTAATTATCCATATATTTCAATATACATGTATTTGGTTCTGTGATTAAATCATTTTACTCAAGGATGAGCAAAGTACATCTTTAATTATTATTTTTAAAAGGAAAAGAGAGTTAAATGCAATATTTGTTAGTCTTAAGCAGAACGTTGACATAAGCTTTTTACCTGTATATGCGCTGTGTTAAAAAATAATTTTGCATTATATCAAATGCTCAGATCAGCCATTGCTGAAGCCAATAGTTTCAAGGTGTGTAAGTTGGATATCGGCCTCGTACATCGATCTTTCTGTTTAGGAAAGACCTGGTAATAGTAGTAGTAGTAGTAGTAGTAGTAGTCGTAGTAGTAGTAGTCGTAGTCGTAGTAGTAACAGTAGTAGTAGTCGTCGTTGTAGTCGTCGTAGTAGTCGTAGTAGTAGTAGTCGTAGTCGTAGTTAGTAGTCGTAGTAGTAGTAGTCGTAGGAGTAGTAGTCGTAGTCGTAGTAGTAACAGTAGTAGTAGTCGTCGTTGTAGTCGTCGTAGTAGTAGTCGTAGTTAGTAGTAGTAACAGTAGTAGTAGTCGTCGTTGTAGTCGTCGTAGTCGTAGTAGTCGTAGTTAGTAGTCGTAGTAGTAGTAGTAGTCGTAGTAGTAGTAGTCGTAGTTAGTAGTAGTAGTAGTCGTCGTTGTAGTCGTCGTAGTCGTAGTAGTCGTAGTTAGTAGTCGTAGTAGTAGTAGTCGTAGTAGTAGTAGTCGTAGTCGTAGTAGTAACAGTAGTAGTAGTCGTCGTTGTAGTCGTCGTAGTAGTAGTAGTCGTAGTTAGTAGTAGTAACAGTAGTAGTAGTCGTCGTTGTAGTCGTCGTAGTCGTAGTAGTCGTAGTTAGTAGTCGTAGTAGTAGTAGTCGTAGTAGTAGTAGTCGTAGTTAGTAGTCGTAGTAGTAGTAGTCGTCGTTGTAGTCGTCGTAGTCGTAGTAGTCGTAGTTAGTAGTCGTAGTAGTAGTAGTCGTAGTAGTAGTCGTAGTAGTAGTAGTCGTCGTAGAAATTTGCAACTTATAATGGGGAAGGGGATTGAGGATCGAGGACAAGTTATATAAAGGGATATTCTCAAAATTTTCTTACAATATAATAAACGCGGTTTTTAAGTAACGGATAACATGGGGCATTGTCCACGAAATAATTTTTGTTTGTATTACGTGATATTGCCTTTGTCCTGAATAATATCATTCCTGTGGCTCTACTTTAGATCGGTATGTTCTACGAGATGTGCCATCAATAGCCGTGACCGCTATATGTACTCGCATTTGTTCCATAAGTGCATAGCTTCAGTTAACCATTTTATTTATCTTTTTCTGTAAGTGTTTCGGGTGTCTCACAACTCAACTCGGAGATTTTGTATCTATGTGACTGTGCATTTAAAATACATTTCTGCCATTTCAGTAAGAATCGTGGTAGGATTACAAGCAAAAATTCTACCGAAATAAATGATCCAGATATTAAGTAAGCATGATTAAGAAAAACGATAAACTACATAAGTAATAAGTATTTACATAAAAATCAGTAGCCCTAAATCTTCACCAAATTCTTATATATTAAGGCATCGTGTAAACAAATAGCGTTCAAATCCTGAATTAAATGCAATATCAGTGTCTATCTAACTGACGCATTATATCTTTATGCTGTAGCATTATGCTGATGTATTTATAATTTAAATCCTCCATAACAAATTAAGTAGACTACAGAAGGTTATTTGTTCAAGCCACGTGATACCAAATACATGAAAAATGGTACTAACAGCTTCTGCGCTCAGGATTTAAACAGTAGTGTAAAGGTTTAATATATCGAAAGCTAGCAATAGCAAAATATGACCTAAAAGGTGTTGAAACATCTGCGGAAGCACAGCAAAAAAAAGTGAAGTACGGGGCAACTTTTCACGACTGCCACTCGATACGTGACACATTTAGGTCGTACAGCGTCTTGAAAGACGTCTTTTGAATAAAGGTTAAAGTGACAAAAAGAACAAAAAATAACAAAACAAAAAAAACACAGGTGCAGTTCCTATCGAAAGGAACGACATCTAAACCAAGGGCAAGCTAAAGCGGCTCACATGCAGCAGTCATTGTTAAGTCGAGCTCTGATAGATCTTAACTGATGTGAAAATGAAAGCCAAAACGGACAGCTGACCAGCAGCTTCGCTCCCGCCTAATCCCGAGACAACTCCAACCCGATCCAGACCATAGTGAACAGCGCAACCGAGGCCGTAGTCAAGACGTCAAGATGATCGTAATAAATCTGTCAAACGTTTTGGCATCATCAAAGGACAAAACTATTGATACACGTCAGCGCACTAGACTACACAACCGTCAAGGCAAACGAACAATTGCTTAACTAATTAGAAAAGTTCCGAATTAACTTAGAGAACTTGGCAATAGATCGTCTTGTAGAAATAACGATGTTAATGGAAGAAACACAATAACATATCCTGGTCTTATTTCAAAGTGTACATAAAATGTGTTGAGATGACCCCCCCCCCCCCCCCCCAATATTAGCGTAATCCTTCCCGACATTATGTCGCAAATGTCTAGTAGTCGCCGTAGTAGAAGTAGTCGTTGTAGTAGTAGTAGTAGTCGTCGAAGTAGCCGTCGTCATCCTCGGCGTAGTCGTCGTAGTAATAGACGTCGTAGTAGTCGTCGTCGTCGTAGTAGTAGTAGTAGTCGTCGTAGTAGTAGTCGTCGTAGTAGTAGTCGTCGTAGTAGTAGTAATCGTCGTAGTAGTAGTCGTCGTAGTTGTCGTAGTAGTAGTCGTCGTAGTAGTCGTAGTAGTAGTCGTCGTAGTAGTAGTAGTCGTCGTAGTAGTAGTCGTCGTAGTAGTAGTAGTAGTAGTCGTCGTAGTAGTCGTAGTAGTAGTCGTCGTAGTAGTCGTCGTAGTCGTAGTAGTAGTTGTCGTAGTAGTAGTAGTCGTAGTTAGTAGTCGTAGTAGTAGTCGTCGTAGTAGTAGTCGTCGTAGTAGTAGTCCTAGTAGTAGTCGTCGTCGTTGTCGTAGTAGTAGTCGTCGTAGTAGTCGTAGTAGTAGTCGTCGTAGTAGTAGTAGTCGTAGTTAGTAGTCGTAGTAGTAGTAGTCGTAGTAGTAGTAGTCGTAGCAGTAGTCCTAGTAGTAGTTGTCGTAGCAGTAGTCCTAGTAGTAGTTGTCGTAGCAGTAGTCCTAGTAGTAGTCGTAGTAGTAGTCGTCGTAGTAGTAGTCCTAGTAGTAGTAGTCGTAGTTTGTAGTCGTAGTAGTAGTCGTCGTAGTAGTAGTAGTCGTAGTTAGTAGTCGTAGTAGTAGTCGTCGTAGTAGTAGTCCTAGTAGTAGTTGTCGTAGCAGTAGTCCTAGTAGTAGTTGTCGTAGCAGTAGTCGTCGTAGTAGTCGTAGTAGTAGTCGTCGTAGTAGTAGTCCTAGTAGTAGTTGTCGTAGCAGTAGTCCTAGTAGTAGTTGTCGTAGCAGTAGTCGTCGTAGTAGTCGTAGTAGTAGTCGTCGTAGTAGTAGTCGTCGTAGTAGTAGTCCTAGTAGTAGTTGTCGTAGCAGTAGTCGTCGTAGTAGTAGTCCTAGTAGTAGTTGTCGTAGTAGTAGTCGTCGTAGTAGTCGCAGTAGTAGTTGTCGTAGCAGTAGTCGTCGTAGTAGTTGTAGTAGTAGTCCTAGTAGTAGTCGTAGTAGTAGTTGTAGTAGTAGTCCTAGTAGTAGTCGTCGTAGAAGTAGTCCTAGTAGTAGTTGTCGTAGCAGTAGTCGTCGTAGTAGTCGTAGTAGTAGTCGTCGTAGTAGTAGTCGTCGTAGTAGTAGTCCTAGTAGTAGTTGTCGTAGCAGTAGTCGTCGTAGTAGTCGTAGTAGTAGTCGTCGTAGTAGTAGTCCTAGTAGTAGTTGTCGTAGCAGTAGTCGTCGTAGTAGTCGTAGTAGTAGTCCTAGTAGTAGTTGTCGTAGTAGTAGTCGCCGTAGTAGTCGTCGTAGTAGTAGTAGTCGTCGTCGTTGTAGTAGTAGTAGTCGTAGTAGTCGTCGTAGTATTAGTCGCCGTAGTAGTAGTAGTAGTCGTAGTAGTCGTTGTAGTAGTCGTCGTAGTCGTAGTAGTAGTAGTCGTAGTAGTAGTCGTCGTAGTCGTAGTAGTAGTAGTCGTATTCGTAGTCGTCGTAGTCGTCGTCGTAGTATTAGTAGTGGTTGTAGAAGTCGTGAAAATTCGAAGGTTTGAAAATCATCATTTTGTGGTACATATACAAAAGTTATTGCCAAAGTTTCAAGGGAAACCAACGCTGCAAGTTTATTTGCTGTTGTAGAAATTGTCTTGAATGTATTTCCCTTCTTACTTTTACCTGCTAGGAAGTGTTAGGGTCGGGGTTTTTGCTGTTGTTTTGTTTCTTGATAGAAAATAAATAAACACAAAAACTATGTTTTATTATTATTATATATTATTTCTTATCATTACATTAATAAATGATTATCTAGTTGATATACATATATATGTTTTATCTATGGGTTTTTTTTCCTGTCTTCATGCTTCCCTTGCTCTTCACACTTTCACTCACGATTACGCTTTTTTCTACAATAACTGTTAAAATGTGGCCTTCCATCAGGGAGGAAGTCGCACGAAACCCATTTTTCTAAATTTATCCCTTGAATCTGGTCACAGTCCACTCTTTCATTTCCACTAAAATAAAACAAGTAAATAATAAAGCGTTTTAAATTACAAATATTTCACTTGCAAAAGAAAAATTTGATAACCTGTTATATCATGACATTGTGCAAATTGGCAAGCGGTTTGCAAATAAAATTGGAAATAATTGACACTGAGTACTTTGTATTAATATGATCATTCAATTGCCAGTATATGTATGCTTCGCATTTTTTTAAAATGAAGACGTAACGAATTATTACGTGGCAAACTATACAAAACCTATACGTTTTCAATTTAGTAATTTATAATATGTTTACTGTAACCATGAATGCTTAAAATGTGTGGGATTTTATCTTTTCAGTCAATGAAGTCCATTTATTTATAATAAAATCTTTACAACGACTTTTTTTACAAACCTTGCCTAGATGTTTTTACGTGATTACACAAGTTAAAATTTAAATTTGGCCCAATAACATGTACAAAATCTTAATAATTACGTGTTCTTATTCTTTAATTCATACACCATCGATATATAATGGCATAACGTCATCAACATTATATAACGTCACAAGATGACTGATTTAAGAAAATGTCACGATGTTTCATTTTTAGATAGATAGATAGATTTATTTCGGCAAAGGAAGCATATACATAGTTGACAATATAACATAGGAATAAAATAATGAGCATTATTAAATTACTATATCACATACGAGTAAAAACTATGACATGCTCACCAAAACCAAGGATAACACAAAAAAGGGCAAAAAAGCTCTTATTTCCATTTGTGGTCCTTTGTATTGGCGGCATGACATAGAGAGGCAAACCTAAATATAATCATGTTTAAAAAACTAATAAATCATAAAAAGGTATATCACAGTCAAATCTTGAGTTAATGATACTCCTGTTTACAGCTAGGATTTAAAACACATTACTAAAATTTTAATAAGATAAATAGCAGACAATTTAAAATCCTGAGCCGAAATATGTAAAAACATGTTTAAAATTTTTTTAAATACTGTTCATAAGATGACTTTTGATGGCAACCTTAAAACTTTGTAACCTGTTGATCTCCTTTAACTTTACAGGTAAATCATTCCACAATTTAATACCAGAGAAAGCAAAGGATTTAGAACCCTGGCCTTTGACCTTAGGTAGACAATATCCACCCTTTTGACTAAGTCTTGTACTATAATTATGAATGGAATCTTGTGAAATAAAGTGTTTAGACATGTAATCCGGAGATAGGCCATTTTTTATCTTAAAAACATGACACAACATTATCTGTTCAACTCTTTTGTGGACCGGTAACCAGTTAAGGGACTTAAAGTGGGATGGGTCAATGTGGGCTCTGGAGTCCAAGTCAAGTACAAATCTCATTATTTTGTTTTGACAAGTTTGTAACTTATTTTTTAAAGACTGTGTCAAGCTATTATACCAAACAGAGCATGCGTAATCATAGTGACACTGAATAAGAGACATAACCAGAAGTTTTCTTGGTATGCTGAGTAAGAAACTCTTTCTTGCGGTAAAGAAATTTTAACCGAGAGTTGGCCTTCTTAAGAAACAGACTCGGCCATGGCGCAAAATGACAGATTTTTGGTCTATAGTAATCCCAAGATACTTGATAGATGAAGTTGATTCAATGGCTGTACCAGAACAGGTTATATGCAGGTTAGATTGTGACCTAAGCTTTTGCCTAGACATTTATGTTGGCGTTATAAAGTCATGTGATTAAAAGAATCGCACATTTCTTATTTCTTACACTTATGGAAATGTAATAATGCTCCAAAAATATTTTAAAACATTCCTTAACTAGGTAATGAAGCATGTATTAACGTATTAAGGATTCCAAACAAGTAATAAAGCTGCATAAGGGTAATAAAGCTCTCAGCAGATTAATAAAAGTTCCAACAGGGCAATTTATAACATATTCTGAATAACATATTCTAAAAGATTAATACAAGCGTTAATAAATGCTTGTCTTAATTAATGGATTATTCTTTTTATAGACATTTAAATATCATTTCGAAAATATCTAATGATGATACATTTATGAAAAACTTGAAGCATAAATACACAAGCTAACAGATCCACAAATTAATTCAATTATTAGATAATCAATCAAAGAAGGAAATAAAAAAACAAACACAGATTTTACTTACATTCCGGGTACATGGAATACATCAGGTTGGACTTGACTAACATCAAAATTATCACACAATACTCGGGCAAATGATACTTTACGAAGCTCAGTTAGCTGATCTAAATAATTATATAATTATCATACATAACATCTTAAATCTCGCAATGCTCAATAATTAAATTAATTGCAGATCTATAAGAAGGATCTGTCTTTCAAAAATGCAACAATACAATTATATTCCCGATAATTTTTGTAACACAACTTTTGTCTATTATTTTTTATTTCAAAACTACATAATTAATACAATTATTGTGTTGTCAGGAAATAAACATATATAGTCATAACAAGTATTTGAAAGAGTTACTTAGCTACCTTTTTGGGATACATACCATTAGTAAACTTTATGATTGGATCTTGTGTCTCGTGCCAATATCGATCGCCTTCTCGCAACTTTTTTAATTGTTTTCCTAACAAACAAGCAAATATTGGTCCTACAGAGCTGTCAGGCAGTAAACTTTCTGTCATTGCACCAGGGAACAAATCTATGTCATCAACGTGACTGTTAAAATAGAAAAAAGTTTTAGATCAATATAAGAATACACTTATTTATAAGCGACATTTAAAATAAAGAATGGCTTCTGCTATTACTAAGTACATATTAGTCTTTAACTATTTAACACAATATAGTTTTCTAACAAAATTCAAGTAATTTTCCAGCAGATATTTAACGGTAGTGGTCTGTTGTTGATTTACTAGGCCAATATATTTACCAAATTGTTTAATTTACCAACAACAAAAATAGGCTTTTATTGAAAAAAAGTACTTGGAAACAGGTATGCATGATATTAAAGGTACTGTTACTCAAATAGTTTTTATGTTTTTATTTCATAAATAAGATGTTCAAATGAAAAGTTAGCAATATTGTAAGTTCAAAAAAGCATTATTTGCAAAGATATATCCAAATTTAAATGTTATGTATATAAAGGCAGGTAATTAGAAATATTTTCGATAAAGTGAAAGCCAAGATTTTCAAAAAGAAAAGAATGCATAGATTTTAATGATTACTTATAATATTAATAAACATTTGCAGTGCATATTTAACAAATTCTTGGATGTTTGGAAATTGATTTAGAAGAATAATTTAATTTTAACAATCATTTCTGAGATATGCTAAATTAAAATGAACTAAGCGCGAGTTGTCATTATTGAGGGGTTCCAGCTTTGACACAAATGCATCCATATAAGCCTTTAAGTTGCCTGTATTTCTGACGGTTACATGTTACAGCTCTGGCTTTAAAACGACATAGTATCGTTTGGTATACCTACCTTTAGATTCGGTGATATTTATTTCAAGTGACGTTGTAGCTTTTGGTATTACTTTATAAAGAACATATTAACTTTGATATACACATATTTATGATTCTTCCAGATACGGTAGTACCTTTCGGCATTCTTATTCCATACTATTGTGGTTTAATGACATATTGTAGTTTCGAATATAAATAGAGGATGATGATATTTTCAAATGACATGGTGGCTTTCAATAAGATTATTTTGTGATTCGGCGTAAACGTTACAAAGTAGTTTTAACTCTTTAGCTTTCAATAAAATATAGAATGATATAAATGCCACGGAACATAATGGCTTTCAAGACAACTTTTGGGCGACATGACATATTAACTTAAAAAAACAAACCCTGTTGGGTGGTGGACATTTATGTGGGTAAGGTCCTGTTAAAGTAGCTTTGAGAACACAAAATGGGTAGTAATGACATGGCTAGGACTGGTGACAAAATGAGTTTCACAATCCTTATTGACAAATGATGTTTTTAAGTGATATAGTAGTTTTTTGTTGTTTTAAGTACCTTTTGTTATACTAAGTTTTGTTGGGTTTTTTTGACATAGTAGTTTTCAATATACCCGTTTGATGGTTTGGCATTATTGTTACAAAGAAACTTTTCATACACTTATTATGTGATGTAGGTAATACATTTACCTGTAGATATTCTGTATCTTGAGTCTTTGTTCTTCCGTATGATCAGGCAATATAAACGATCCATCGTATGACATATTAGCTTGTCCTTCAATAAAACAGTATCATACTCATAACAATTTGTCTTGTAATAATAGTAATTTACAACTAAATAGTCTGCTCTTTTTAGAATATGGTCGAATACTAAATATCAGCTATTTAAACTAAGGACTTCAGCATTTAGAATCGGACCCAAAACTAGACATGGGAATAATCAATTGTTATGGCCAAGACATGGGTAGTTTTTTATATTCGTTTAAATTTTGGGTGTTTCTTTCCATTGGTCCTCTAAAAGAGAATTGCTTATTTTCAAATGTTTATTTTGGTTTCTTACTTAATTTGGACACAGGTATGTTAGTGTAGATAATTTAAAACAATAACAACGTGTATATTTGAATTGTTCTAAGACATATATACATACCAAGGTTACAATGTTTTCTCCAGTGGTTGTATCCGGGTATCCCATGGTCTCGTCCACGTTGTATATTAAGTGACGGTAGATCTAGACTGATTCCATTTTTGTCCTTAAATAAAAGATTTCTTACCCCGTCTCCAAAAATGCTGCAATAATGAAATATAATATCATACTTTACACAAATATGTTCCTTCGTTATTTAAATAAATGTCAGCAGGTATTTAAAAAGTAAAATATTCACCACCATTATTTAATTGTACCTTTTCCTAGAAATGTAATTAAAAACCATTCGATTTCACTCATTAAACCTTTACCATTATGTTCCAGTAATGTCCAGTAATAATATATGAAATAGCATCCAGGACATCAGACATCATATCTTTATAGTGACCTCCCAGTCAGATCAAAACATTGAACAATCCAAATCTTTCAGTAGTTTTTGTGAGCTTATTGCTTGGTACCTTTAATGCTTTGAATACACAGTGTTTAAAAACCCATTACATACCCTTCAAAGTACATAATCATTAGCTGTTTCTTTTAAGAGCTCATATTTATTGTCATATTAATGTTAATACTTAATTCTATGTTTATACATGACTATATTTTAGCATTGCTATCTTAAATACTTCTTCTATAACTTTTTTAATGAACCTCGTAACAATCTAAATTTTCAAACCAGCAGCATGGTTTAAATATGTACGTGAGATATGGAAATGAAGTTTCCAATATGCGTCAATGTACCAACACGCATGATGACTTAATCTGTTATAGATAAACGTAAAAGTCTGGTTGCAGTAAGTAAGTAAGTAAGTGCTTATTGCAATTGAAATATAAATATAGAGTGATTCTTTCAGTAGTTGTAACATGTATGGCTGAAGGAGAAGAATCCAACGGGAACGTTTGAATTTGTCTCAATGAGTGTCGGGTTTAATTCAATCTTCAGTCTATTGGCGTTTTTTCTCTTTTTCTTCCCTTTTAGGTATATATGTATAGCACGTGCGTTGAAAAGTACTTAAAAATGATCATGTAACAGGAAATTAAACGTTTGTAATTTAAAAATAATAATTTTTGCTTTTATTAACAGATGAAGTGAATGAAATACCCGTTCTGCAAAGGTGTTGGTCATCGATGAGCCATCTTGCGATTCCATCAAGCCCTGCACCGTCGTCAACCTGAATCATGTGTTGCCGTCGATGGAATGTTGTTTCTATCGGATTCTTCTTGGTTTAAATTGATACTGTTTGCTCATTAAAGCCTGATAGTCTGCTTATTTGTGAGGTGTCGCCGAACCTATCACAGCAAAGTTCAGTTATTAACGAACTAAAAGAGCTTTTTACAGCTACATTGAGATTCTTGTATTGTAAGCGGTATTGTATAATTTTATAATATACCTTAATAGCACTATCATATCGTTTTACTTTAAAGGGAGACACAGGCAAAAATTTTTCAATTTCTTAGTTTTTGAAATTTTTCATTCATTTATTCTGTAAATGTCCCTCAAAATGAATACACTAAACAGTCAAAGGAACAAAACTTTTCTCCATATAAAGAATAAAATGGTGTTTTCCTAACTTGACCCGCGTGGGTCAGGTTTACGCTAAAATTTCACAATAGTTGTCACTCTGTACTCTGGAAACGTTAAAAAAACATGGTTCAAATCAATTACTTAGACTTTGTTTCAATCATACAATATCCACAATATTTGTTATTGTAACTTCCAGGCTTTGTTCAAATCGCATGACTTGATTTTAAAACTATTCGGTGATTCTGTTCGCGTTCAAAATTTCGTTCAACATATATAGATATATTTTAAACTTCAAACCCAAAAAATATAGAAAATTTATTACAGAAATTTCATGTTTTGGGACTTTAAGAAAAGTGTCCATTTTAGGGTTTGATTTTGAGTTACAAAAAATTCATTTTTATTTTTCCATTTTTTGCCTGAGATCCCTTTAATGGAAACGTTTTGAATAACTGTTTATAAAAATAATAAACGATAAAGCGGACGACACTTGCGAATCATCACTAAAACACTACCTACTTAGATAGATATCTGCTATCGCCATACATTAATATTTTATATACATTACCTTGAGGCTGCGCCACTGCTCAAACCGCCGTTTTAAAGAATTGTCGGAAATTTGATATTTGGTCTGTAGTGAATGCTTAAAGTCCTCATTGAAGATTTTAAGATTTACTCGTCCATTGGTATTCGTTGAATTTTTAATATTGGCAGGAAAAGGTTATTCGTTTTTTGTAGTTTTATTATTCTAAATTTGTAAACGTAGTTTAAAGATAACAGTTTAAGAAAGCGATTTGTTGATTATCGTAGTTTCATTTTTTCTAAAAAGCTAAAAAGCAAAAAAATATAACAATATCCACAGAATTTTGCTACACAAAAAGATAAGAACTTTGTTTTTTTCTAACATTAAAAAAATCTTTTTTTCGGCCCCCATAAATTCAGGCTTGAAATATTCCAAAAAATTTACCCTGTAATTTTGCTGCCCATTTATGCGCCTGGTCTGTTGGAATATCGTTTCGTCATCCCAATCAGCGTTTATTCCAACAAGCTCTTGTGCAATTCGGTTATGTTCTCTCATGAAACATGTGTGGCTCCAGCCAAGAGCTGGTACTACGTTAACACGTTTATCCCCTACAAACAAACACACGTTCAAATGCATGTACATTAATTTAACATATCTGTGGAGTATAATAAGCGAATATGATAAGATGCAAATGTACAAAGTCATTGAAGAGATGCACAATCACTGCATGTCTTTGTTTAAATGAAAAAACATGATAGTGTGATTCAGATTTTTGTTCGTCTTTTCTCCAGAAAGGAGCTTAGTAATCATAAATCTTCAATTGTTTTGCCCGATTAGCTAGTGAACGTTGACGCAAATTTAGCTTGGAATTTGTATTGCAATGGATCAGCAGGACGGCAGCAAATATAAATATCGTGAAGATAATAAGTAGTTACTCTCTTTCAGCTTATTTAATGGCTTCACAATATTTTTATTTCTATCAAATTTAAATTCTATACATCAATTGTAGTTTAAACATTTTCTCATAAATGAATATAACTAATAACTTTACCTGCCAGAGCACAGCGATCTTTTGGCGCTTCGATAGTATACTTGTCATTCGTATCTGGCGGTAATTGTTCGCTGTTTGTTTCATTGTCTTCGTAAATCTTGAGTAAACCTGTACAGATATGAATATATTTTGTCTACCTTTAGTAAGTGTCTATTGTTTCCTCTATTCTTAAGAAGCACACAAAGCAAATTGAACTTTGGCCAATATTTTACTTACATACTAAACAGGTTTTCTTAACCTATCAATTAACAATATCTGATGAATAAATTTTTTATCGTCTGTGAATGTCAAGATGAAAGATGACTTCACATAAGTTTTTGGCAATAGTATATTTACACACAGATAAGTCAGGCAGTTGAAACATGAAAGCAAAACATTGATACATTTGAAAAGAAGGGGAAATAAAAACGATCACATATTGGATCTGTGATGGCAGATGGGTAAATTGTTTCCAAAGGTCCATAAATCTCTCTCTTTTCTTTTTATAACAAAAAGCTTACCATTTTCATATTTATCGACATATATCGATTACACTCGTAACCATACGTGGTGTATTGTCAAAGTAAAGCGGATATTTTAACATCATTTTCATCATTAAAACATTAGTATCATTTCACTTGTTAAGTTGATTTAATAATTGTAAGTATTCTATTTTGTGAGAGAGAGGATAAGGCGGTGGTATTTTTAATTTTGTCATAATTGTACATTAATTAACTTCACGTCAAACACTACTTAGTTTTCTGATCGGCGGATATTAGAAGAAATGTTTACCTCCTTCGAATGCTCGTAATGAGATTGATTGGTCTTCAGTTGAACCATAAATCGCCGATGCATCTATATATGACGTCACTTGGTTCATTTGCTCCCGGAATCCTAAAAAGGAAAAGAAAAATGAAAAGCAGGTAGGATGAAAGGTAACTGTGGAAAAATATATATTGATTGAAGTATCACATGTTCTTAACTTTTGTTTCGGGTCATTTAAAAACACATAAGGATCGAAATTTACACCCTTTAAGCGCTACAAAATTTGAATGCAACATTGAATTTAAGGTAATAAAAACCTTTAAAAAAACAAATGTGTTTAGAATTAGTGCCATTATCCGATATTCGGTCTTAATTTCTGTTTAGAAACATCAAATCTTATTTTTATTTCTGTAAGTCATATTCAAATCGCCTTACATCTATTTAACGAAAATTTATAAGCTGAAAATTATAATTTTATTATTGTTTTACCATTTAAAAAAAACTTGCTGGAAATTAAAGTATACCTTTGCTGCAATAAAAAAGTAGCAATGTACCCCTCCAGCTTATCATTCAAGGTAATATTCCACCTGGGCGTGCAAATGCCCTTGGAAAAATTTCCAATTATACATTTCAAAACTTTGGGCAAATGTCAAATGTCCTTGGTCTAATGCCCGTACTCCAAATATGCACAGGTTTACACCATAAACATACCTGGGTTCACAATCATGGTCTAGCACTGGAGCTGATCGCACCATACTCATGCAAGTCCTGTTGTAGAATGGATCATCATCCGGTATACGTATAGGGAAACACTCTGTCCTGTTTTAAATACATATGAGTGTCATGTTAAGAATGTGATGTTATTACTTTTCTATGAATTGGACTTCCGAATGTTAATGAATTTTAACTTTCAAGGAACAGTTTCCTTCACGTATAATCTTTTGAGAAAGTTTTACATAAAGGAAATGTAACTCATTTCTCATTTTCAGTCATAGTAGATGATTTAACACTGATGTGCACAGATAGGATTCAGACTCTTATATAAAACTGCATAAAACTTTGCCAAAGAATAAAGAAAATCAAGAGAATCATGTAAAAACATCCATGAATAGCTTACTAGAACAAAATAAAAACTAAGAGAAACTTACCTATTTTCATTTCCTTCATCACAACAATCGATATTAGCTCCCATTGTGTCTGAATTGAAAATATTTGTGTAAATAGCATGTTATCATTTCGCTATTTGTAATTAATTAGGACGTACATTAATGACGGCCTTTCCTTCAGAAAAAAGCGGTCTAGTTCACAACATGTTACAAAAATTAGACTGAGACTGAGGACTGTTCAGTGTAATTGCAACTGTCTATGAGGTTGCTAAAATGCAATAAGTACGATTTAAAATGTATTTCTTGAAATATTCTATCTGCTTTATTTTAAAAACCGATCAGAGACTCTACTGGAACAATTCAATGTCCAGTAACATGTTCTTAAATTTAAAAACATAAAACAGTTGGCTACTAACGTCCACTTCGAATGTGAGTTTTATAAAATCTTATCAGCTGTTAATGCAATGCATAAAGCTGCCCAAATTAAATAATTACAATGAAGTCTGCAAGGGCGGTGCATTTTTTTTTTTTATTTTTTTTTTGTTGTTGCTTGTTGTCAGACAATTGAGGTAAATATGAAAAATTACAAATTTAAAAGCCGATTGATATAGATGTAAGGTATTTGTGGTATAATAAAATAAACAGTATTTCATGAATCATTAAACATAAGACAAAGTAATTAAAGACGGTTTGGAAAATCAACAGTATAGAATACCTGTAGAGAGAGAGAGTTTCAAAAAAAGTTTTTCAAGAGTCCTACTCAATCCATACATTTTTTTATTTGTCAGTTATCATGTTAATAAATTGTTTACAAACAAACTTTGTTTAAACTATTAAGTCAAGAACATATCTACTTGTCTACAATGTCAATGTCTTATATGTTCTCAAACCAAATTCAAGCGTGTCCTCGTTTTATAAAAACTCCTCTACATATACATGTTTAGTTATGCTTATCTTAGTTCCAGCTGAAATAATTTTCTATTGGCAAAGATTCCCTTCTCTTATAATATGTTTCTTCAATATACCTTTCATAACTGGTGTTGAAACAAATTCATGGTCGATGAACTGACCCCACTGCATTACCATCATGGTCAGTTTGTCATTTCTTGGCGATTGTCCGTCTGCTTTATGTAGTTCGTTACTGATGACACGTGCACTTGGCAGCTCTTCACCTAACACTCCAAAACGTCTTGGGGCGTCAATACCTACAGAACAAAATATGCAAACTTGAACTGTATATCAAAACAAATATTTATGCAAAGAACTTTTGCTTTATATTTTCTATATACATTTTATCCAAAACACTGAATCTGAATAATAAATCACTAACAATAAGTGTATTAGAGAAACAATCCATTGACATGAGTGTTATGTTTTTTACACCCTGATAGGTGAAAGCAAATTACAATATTGTACAAATCATATAAAAATGCCAATTTCTATATAAATAATAGTATCATTTTCATCAGGTTTTTGATATTTTATTTTAAACTTGCACTTTAGGGATGTGCCGATTCAGCTAATCCTTAAGTCAGTTTTGCTATGTATTTTACATCTATTACCGTTATATTGACAGGTCAATGTTTTCAGGCTAAGCAAGTGTAATGACTGTGTAAAACTGTTAATATTTGATTGGAATATGCATTCAAACATTTTTGATGAGCACATTGTTCAAATTTCCATCGAGTGAAAATACATGGATGAAACAATTAGCACCATGACTTTTAAAATATGTCATGCTGTTAAATATGAAAGATAACACATTTTACAAACCATCAGAAAATAGGGGATTTTTTGACTGAGGAACATTACGCTCCCCGGGCGGTTTTTAGAAATTGTTACACGTTCATTTATAGTTCATAATATCTTTTTCACACATGTTTGTCCCTGAAAAATAAAATTATTTTAAATTTGAGAAAGTAATTTTTTTTATTTTAAGGGAAACATCTTTTCCAAAAAATTTGTTTTTACTTTTTTTTCCCTTTTACCCCTAATTTTTCGTTTTATTTAAAAAATTTTTTAAAAATAAAAATAAAAGAAAACTTTTACATGATCATTTTAAAACTTTGAAAAAAAATCGTAGGGAAGTGAATATCGCACAAAAATTCCTCAATTTTAGGGAAAAATTTTAAAAAATTTATAGGGAATTTACAACAAAATATTATTTTGAAGTCATAAATATGGTTCGTAAATATAAGGCAACTACTTTCAATATAAACAAAAAAAAATTTTTGCAACTAACTTTGTTTAAATGAAAAGAGAGCTAACGTTTACTGAATTTGTTCAGTAATGTGAGATGCATTAATATTTAGTCTTTTGAAGAAGTATTGGTGCTGTTTGTTGTTTCTGTTTGTTTCTTTTTATGTTTGATTAAAGCAGATTATTGCTGATTTTCTTGCTTTATTGATTGAGGGAACCACCGACTTTAATTTTCATTAAAGCTCACAAAGATTTTCTCATTCATTTTTTTTCAAATATGTACTTTTCATAAATTGTTATTTATAAAGGATGTTTTTTTGTAAATAATTTCCTTGTGCATATTTTTGAAACATGTGTCTTCCAAATTGTAGTAACTTCGTTGGCCTTTATTTGGGTACGGTTTTAATGCCTTCCCGAAAGTATCAGACACTCACTATTGTTTTAACGAAAAAAGATTACTATTTGTGACCTAGGCTTTAAAAATTGTGATTCAGATGATCATTTTAAGTGTGCAGTGATGAATGAGAAATTATTTCATTTAAGGAAAATGAACAAAAAAATATAGTTTTTCGCTCAAACATTTGCTTAAAAATTTAATGATGGTTAAAAAAATTGAATTACTTCAAAAATTTAAAAACTAATTAAAAAAAAAAATAAAGTGGCATAATTTTCAGAGGCTTTTCAATGCCCATAAATAATTCTACTTTCGACCAGCCGGCCCCTAATTAAGCTCTCCAAAAAGGGCCCCGTTTTTTGGGCAAATCTGCTTATAAAAAAACCTGAACAAAAAAGAAAAAAGTAAAAAAAATTTTTGATCTTATATCAATCCCGGTAGAAAATAAAATATGAAGGGGATTTTAAACTATCGTAACTTTGTTGATTTTAAACAAAGATGCATTTACCAGCAATGATTTTGTAAATAAAATGTGTAAACGTTGTACTTGATGATATATATTTATTGCTTATTTTTTATTATTTTAGATAATTCTTCACTAGGCCTCTTTTTGTTATCAATGAACAGCACTAAAATTCCGCCATATAAGCTCATCTTGATGAGATCTATGTAAACTATTATTGAATTGTTTTTATGTTTTATTTTATTTTTTTTTCATTATTTATTAATTTTGTTGATTTATTGTTACTGACCAGGAAGACACATTAAGCAGATTGAAGTGAAGATACTTGGATGTGTGATTTTTTGTAGAATGTAGTAGATCAACGAATACAAATCATGTACCAATTATGATAAATGTAGTGTTATGGAGTGCTTTAAGCACTTTTGATCATTACGCCATATGCTTTACTTCTTTTGACATAACTTTCTACTTATAACATCATAACGTCAAAAGTCGTTTTTCGGGTTATAAATCTGTCGATGTTGAACTAATATTTAAATACCTTTTAAATACCGAAAAGAAATAAAAAATTGTACCAAGAAAATTTGAAATGTATTTCATAAAAAAGTAAAAAAATAAAAGGTATTTTGGACCATTGGTTTTTCCATTGGTTTGGCCCCTACTACTCATTTGCAACTCAATGTGAAAGAGATAATTGGTTTAAAAGAGCGTATTTTTAGAAAGACAAGTATTTACAATGAAATGCAATTTTTTGGGGAAATAAAGAAGCTAGAAATATACATTATTTATTCGCATAGAACCAAAAATGCAAAGTATAGTGTAGCAAAATTTTTGAAAAATTTTGTTGCTTCATTTTTTTACGAATATTTACGTCAAAACTTTGGCAATTAGAAAATTATTAATCAGAAGAACCCACCTTCTTTCCCGTTCAATTTGTTAAATGCTATTCCTCCTGGCTTACCAGCTCGCCCAAGCTCCAAATGCTTTTTGTTCCCGATCTGGTATATTCTCTTTTTTCCGACTTAATGGATTCGTTGCCTACAACATTTGCCTTATTCCCATCGTGACACTGGGTGACAACAAACAAGTATCCAAAGTATACAAGAATGTGTAATTTGATGTTCATCCTGAGATTTACTCTTAAACAAAAATCAAGAAAAAAATTATAATCACACGAACTGTACAGGATAAACTATAAGGATCTTCCATCAGCTTCCGTAACAGACCAGAATATCTATATTTACTCTGGTTACAAGGCTCTGCTGAGTTTCTGCTAAACAGTTACGCGAGAGCTACGTACAGATGTCGGTGTTTGATATTTTTCTTGCAAATTACATGTCAGCTTTTCTTCGAAACTAGTTTTTTCATTCAGCACTTATTTCTTACAGTTGTGTATGCATTTAAACGGTAAACTGACGACATCTCATTAATAAAAAGCAGCGCGGGAATAACGGCATTTTAAGCACGCGACTATTGTTAACAGTTGATTAAATTGTATTACATGTGTATATGCAAACAATATAGGTTGTTAGTCAGAACAGAACATATACTTTATTTAGAATGACACAGATTACAATATACAAGTTTAATGTAATAACATGTGACCAAAGTCAGTAGACAAAATCAAAGCAAATGGGTATGAACAAATGACAGTATACTGTCCTAGGATGATAATTTGGTCTTAACGGTACATGGGAAAGTCCAAAAACGGGGTTATCTGGAATTTTATCCGATATCGTAAAAGTAAACACTTACATATACTATATATTATTATTCTTACAGTATCATTGGTGTATTACCGTTATGGCTTTGCCGTTAGATCGAAGTTATTGTAATTTTTAGTGTTTTGTCCTAATAGGTTCGAACCCCGCGTGGTGCCATTTTATAACCACAGTTTTTCCTTCTTGCTCTGATTTTTATCATTATTATTTATTTATTTTTCGTTTTCCTTTTTGATTTCTTCTTATAATATATGGTTTATAGTATATATTTATTTTTTATTTCTATTCTATTTTTTTTGTATTTTTGATCGCAGTGTAATAAAATATTCGATCTCATAGTCATGTATGTATATGAAAAAAAACCGGTCAAACTTGTTTTTCTGGACAATTGACAGTTCTGAGGTAAAAAAAACGTGTCTTACTAGTACTCGAACTTCTGCCTGTACAGGTAAAACACATAACTGTCACGGTTGCTCTACCTACTGCGCTAACAAGACATATGATAACATGCAGTTTTATTTTCATTTTTATAGGTTGTGGCATTGATCTGCCTCACCTATTTTTCGCATTGTTATTGGTCTTTGTTATGTAAACAAAGGCTCAAGTTATCCTCCTAGGACAGTAAAATATCATGTAATGCAAATATTCTTTTAAGGTATTTTTCTTATATGGGTATTGCAGTAAGTAATAGTTACCGTACAAGGAATAGGTCTGCATAGTATTTACAGACCCGAATGGCGATTTGAAAACAGAGAGAGCGTAGCGATCGAGGTTTTTAAAAGGCCACCGGGTCTGTAAATACTATGCAGACCTATTCCGAGTGCGGTAACTATCTTACCTACATGCTCTTTTGTCTTTCTTTCCATACATCAGTTTTTAACTCAATATTTATTAATATTACTCACAAGAAACATATTATTTATTTACTTTATCATGTTTAAGAAAGCATTCCAAAGCAAAGCAAAGATACCATCTGCTACACTCTTGTAATTAATTCGTTCACAAATCAGGTTGTTATTTGAATGGTCTCGTGATTTTCGTGGGGTTTCATTATGTAATAAGGCCAGGTAATGTACTTGTTGAGTTGAGTCACAGAAAATGAAAAATAACTTGTAGAGTAGGGAAAAGGTAAGATCATTATTTTGATATATGAATACATAACATATTAATAATATAAACAAATATTGAGGAAGATAAAAATGTTTTCTTATAAAAACGGAACACTTTAACTTTATATATAATAAATTTCATGGTAAATAGATAATCAGGCTATTTCTTATACAATAATAATATTATACGATTTTTTCAAATGAAAGTAAAAGACGGGGTTATATGAATAAATATTAGTAATACATGTAGTTACACCGTCATGTAAGTTTGGTTTTGTTGTTGTTGTTTTTTATGATCGTTGATTTTAAATGTTCTTAGAATTTCATCCATGTTTGGAAGAATTTTCGTTCGGTGTATTCTTAATTAGCATCATCCGGTATTCATATGTTTGATAAGACCGCATGCAAGCACGTGGTCTAGAATGGAAGCGCAAGTCGTATTATTGCGAAGAACTGGCGAGTACTGGTATACAAAACTAAAATTGTAATGTAAAAATAACTGGGGAAAAATGAGAAAAACGGTGTCTTATACTTAAGATGAACTATACTCTCACTGAAAGTAATATTTTGTGAAAGAAAGATGCAGTTCTAAGTTGACTTTGATTTGATATGCACCATTAATATAATCGTCGTATATATCACATAATTCAGAATTGTTAAATAATGCAGGATTGTGCAAATTCGAACACAGTTGTGGAAATAAATGCCGAAAACAAGTATCTTATGATGCTATATAGTTCGGCAAATGTGTTAGGTATACCGAAAAGCAAACTATAAAGAAATGCCAAAATTTTATGTGCGTTGTTGTACTCATTATAATCGGCGAAACATAAACTTCGACGCCAGAACAGTAGCCAGGTCGTTTGTCTCACAAATAATCTGGAATATATGTTATGAGGGTCCTTACAGCCGAATGCGCTAATTTAAATGCTTTGTGTATCTTCAGTGTAACTGTTTGTAATAAACCGATGTTTTGTTTATTTTTAGAAAAACTTTTATTTATATTATTTTATCATATTTTATTGCTTGAAACATATGTACTTGTAACATATAGATTACATTAATACAAAACAGAATACAATAAATACGTATGTTAACAGTTTAAAGCAAATGGGTTGGGCCACAAGTTTTACCAACATTAATGAAGGCCATTCCCAGGCAAGTTTAAATAACAAAATGTTCATTATACTTGTTTACGTAATTAATGTGTTAGGCGAAGAAACAAGAAAATATATGTTTTTTTGCGCATCATCAGAGCAATATTTACAGTCTGCTTCTATATATTTCTATATTGATATTAAAGTATTCAGATGAAAATATCATGAGAGAAAAAAAAACAACAATACCAACAAAAAATGATATGAGGTTTTCTATGAAATAGAAAAAAAACACTCACATTCTAAAAACATCCAAACTTCTGTTCACCTTTCCTTTGAAAAAAATTAAAACAGGTTTCGTCTCCATTTTCGTTACTGGACCAGCATTAAAAATAGAAACAAGGAGTTATATTTGATTATCATTAAGATATATTAAGTTCTAAAACGATTCGTATTCTTTATATATTTTTGAACATGCCCAAAAATAATGTCATTATCTTCAGGCGACAAGTTATCAATTCCAAACAGCAGTTTCTTTACACTTAAAGGATGATATGAGCGGTAATAATGAATAATTGATGGCGATGTTGATGAAATAACGGGCATTTGAAAAAATAGTGTTCTGCATCCTCTATGGTATATCCACAGTCACATTTTTGATTATCACGTAAGTGGTTGTAAAATAAGTCGGAGTTTAGGTTACTATATTTATTACGTATTCTTGCATGATGGACCTGTGAAAATCTTTCACCAGAAATGAAGAATCGGGGAACTATTGGGGATTTAAATTTTTCTTTTAGATTACGTTTAAAAGCTTATAATGAGTCTACATACGAGAATGAGTGTCCAAATTGTTCCAAAGTTTGATAGATGAAAGTATTGTAGATTTAGCATAGTTTTCAAGCCAGCGTGCCATAGAAGCATAGTCAGAATTGTTTCTCAAATTGTATGTATTTGCTTCAAAAACGGTATTTGGAAAAATTTCAGACAGATAACAGAGTAATTCTCCACGGCTATATTTATATACCAAAATTAATTTCTGCATGTTTCTTCTGTCTGATAATGAAACCCACCCTATTTCTTTTAGTAAACGTTCTATTGATACAGATATTGATAAGCCAGTTACAATTGGTGCAGCGTCATACTGAATTTTGTCTAAAAGATCTTTTTCATAAACTGTGCAGCTATCCCAAACAGCAGATGCATATTCAATAATTGGTCTAAGATAAGATATATGTATTTGATTCAAAGTTTTCTGTTTAAGCTTAAACTTTAACATTCGCAAAGATCCAAAAACTTTTGTGGCGGAAGATGCTATATTTGTAATATTTTCATGCCATGAACCATCTTTACTAAATGTAATACCAAGTGTTTATGGTTGTCAACAAACGTTAAGCGTGTATTATCAAAAAAAGTGAAAGTACGTTCACGTTTTGTCTATAAAGAGAGAGAAATAATACTTCTGTTTTAGTCGGATTAAATTTAAAAAGTCATTTTTTGCCCATTTTGATAATATATTTAGGTCGTCATTTAATGATGATTCGATATGGTTAATATTATTGGAGCTTACTGATGATGAACTATCGTCGGCAAATAAACGTGTTACACTAGACAGAGAATCTGCAATATCGTTCACGTAAATTTATAAGAAAAGTAGAGGTCCAAGTACTGAGCCCTATGGCACGCCAGCATTAATGGTTCTTTCCTCAGAAAAAGTAGATCCAACGAATACTTTTTGTTTTCGACTTATTAAGTAACTAGAGATCCATTTAAGAATATTGTCTGTAATTCCATATTGTTTTAATTTGAAAATCAAACCCTTATGCCATACACGATCAAAGGCTTTCCTAATATCACAAAAAAACGATGCAAGTCGATTTCTTGTCATCAAACGCTTTTCAAATTTGATTGTAAATGTCAATTACTCGATACGCTGTAGAATGTCCAGGTAGGAAACCTGACTGATTTTTATAGATTAGATTATTTTCATGAAAATAGTTATAGATATACTTAAACATAATTCGTTCCATAACTTTACCTATACAACAAATAAGTGAAACTGGTCGATAATATGACGGCATTGAGCAATCACCCTTTTTAAATAAGGGCATAACATTTGCAGTTTTCCAGCTATCTGGGTACATATTAAGATTGACAGACATGTTGAATAATATTTTCAGGGGTTCACAAAAAGTAAAACGAGTCTCCTTAAACATACGATGGCTTATTTCATCAGGTCCACTTGCCTTATTAATAATAAGATTTGAAAGAACGTCAATACTATCTTGATTGGTAATGCTGAAACTATCGAGCTGTTTATTCGTCTTATTTACTAGAGGTGGTAAAGAGGTATTAGAGTCATCAATATTTTGAAATAGATACGAAAAAATCATTAAGTGTATCGGCCTTGCCTTTATCAGAAAAGGCTAGGGAATTATAATCTTTTATTAATGGGGGCATACATTTACAATTTGGGGAATTTTCTTTGACTAATAGTTTAACCAGTTTCCAATATTGACGCAGATTCGTCGAACTACAATCACTCAAAGTAAATTCGATATTATTAAAGAACTCTTCTTTAGCATGCTTTATCATGTTATTAACCTTATTTCTTAAAGTTTTATATCCGACCCAGTCTTCGTATTTTCTGGTAGAAATAGCTTTTCGTTTCAGTTTATTTCGTCTTTTAGTGGTTTTCCTAATTTCAGAATTGTACCAAGGTTTATCTTTTGGACGGATGGTTGCCATAGTAGTAGGAATACACGTTTTTGCCAAATTTAAAAACTTATCTGTAAATTGTTTTGTTGCAGTATTAATTACAGTGAGTGTAAGAAATGACCGGTCAGTTTTATGAATCTTTTCATTAAGTTGTTCGAAATTTGCTCTTTTATAGTTCCAGACTCGTCTTTTAAAAGGATCATTAATTTGATTTCTTGATCTAATATAGGCAAATGTTCCAACATGGTCACTGATTAACTTGTCCGTATTATTAACACCCGAGAATAAACATTCTAAAGAAGACGACATTCCAATAGGATCTAATAGAGTTTGCGAGTAAGGAGTAATTCTAGTGGCTTCAGTTACAACATTTTCCATATTATTTAAAAGAAGTATATTTCGAGATTTGTTATTGTATGAATTGAGTTGGTCTTCATTTAAGTCGCCAACTCAAATAGTGTTATTACAAGTTTCTAGTGCATTTTCCATACTAATATTAATCCTATCCCAAATTTCAACGCTCGCGTTAGGTGGCCTGTATAAATTACAGAGTAAATACGTTTTAAATTTCGTTTAAATTTCCAGCCAAATAGATCCAGGTAAAATAACTTCTAATTCTAAAATTCTTTTTTAGTAAATGCCAGAGGACACGTAAATTAAAAGGCCACCAGATTGGGCGGTATTATCTTTACGGTACATCTTATCGAACCATCTAGATGTAAGGAGTCGTTTGGAATATCAAACGACAATTTACTTTCTGTAAAACAGACAATATCATAATCAAAAAATTTGTCTTAATATAATCAAACTTATTTCTTATGCTGCGGATATTTTTATGAAAAACAGATAAACACGAATCAAATGTATTTGTACTCTACATCGCCGGATGAAATTAACAATATTTCAACTATTAATAAGAAGTATGAAAGAAATAGTACGTCCGTATCTTCTGAAAATATTCCAATAGTATTGTCATAATAAAAACACTACACACTACTAATGCAATTGCTAGCGAGAAATAACAATCAACAATACCGTAATACAAAACATCAAAAGCGTATGATAAATTTTCGACATCGAACCTATACTTTAAATTCACTCCTTTATTTAATACGTATGTGCTGTCTTCGTACATTAAAGAGTCCAACGGTCGATCTGTTGGATATTAAATCATTACATAATGGTTATACAAATACAGATCAACCAATGGACGAGAGTTACGAAACCACAATGAGAATGGAGACGAATAGCGTAATCACAAAAAAAACGGAAAGGTGAACAAAGTACTCAAATAATAGAAAAAAAGATACATAACAACAATAAAATATTGCGAAACTCGAAATACAAACATATAATGCCTTCTGAGCTAAGCTAATTCTGGTACATTTTAATAATGCGACACCTTACATGAATCCACCGGTTCGGTTAGAAAAATGGAGGGTTAGAAAAAAGTGTGCGGACAAATTTTTGCTTGATAAGTGTCTATTTATGGATAAATATGATATAATTTCTTGACGGATGAAGACAAAATTGTTTACAAATTGTTTACTTGGAGAAAAAGCAAATTATTGATATGCTTATGTAGCAGGAGAGGGCTACTTCCGAGGCGACAGGTTGCAAATTATCACAACCTGGCTTCGCAAGCTCCTCTCCTTTTTACTTGCTACTGATTTATAGAGCCTTAGAAGCTTGGACTCACTTCGTCCCTTTACCCCGAATATTTGCTGCAAGAAATGACAAAAACACCAAGTTTCCAGTTCTGATTTTTAATACAAAATTAAATACTTATACGACAATGTTCTTTATTTAAACATATAAACTTCAATTTATCAAAGTATAGACATTAAATTCTATAACAACTACCAAATTTAATATAAAGAACTTTCAATGCAGAGTAATAGAAAATAGATATACTGTACTTTTACTTTAATAACGAAATACTAAACAATTTACTTTTATAATACCTAATAAATTAAGATAGGGGAAGGGGCGGTAGCTTGGCTTTGTAACCTTTGCTACCAATGATGCCAATAAAATCTGACCTAATATACCAAAGTAATTATTATTTCTAATCAACCAATATATCAACATATTATTTCTAACATTTAGCTTCATAAATATAAATTAAGAATAACTACTAAAAACAAAATTATTAAAGTTTTATACCTGAGACCTTCTTTATCTTGACAATTTTAATAGCTAACAATTTACTCGATATGTTGTGTACAAACTATTTCATAAAATATAACAAATTACAATTTCATGTACCAAAAAGAAAAGGGAAATAACAATTTAGAACTTAATTCAATAAGTGTCAAAAATCAGAACATTTATTTTACAAAGGGAAACAACCTGCCCTACTACACTTATAATGGTGAGCAAGAAAACTTTGATTTGAATTTTCTGGTGTCGCGCTCCATTGAATAGCTATATAAACATTTATACCAATAACTTTATACCATATATGAACATACACCGTTATATATCGACTTGAAATATCTTGACTTATCTTGTCACGCTGACAAATATTTGAACAACCAAAGCTTATCCCGTTAGTTGATATGAGTGTAAACAAATCGGTCACAAGCACCCCTGTGTCTTCTGAAAGTAATAAGAGGGAACTCTCGTCGCCCTTTGATCATAACGAAACAAAGAAAGTCAGATCACTGTCTGAAAATTCTGAAATGGATGAACCAGTAACACATATACGCCTCTGTGATGAAGACCTCATGAAAATAAGCTCGCTTCTTAAAACCACTTTTCAGACCGAACTCTCAACAATGGTGAGTGATGTTATTAGTGGTGTTATGTCGAATATCAACTCTAAAGTCGAGACACTTGAAGCTGAAAATAAAACCTTGCAAAGCAGAGTGTCCGAGCTCGAAACCCGGCTCTTGGTAACCGAGGCTAAACAAGACAGATCGGACCAGTACTTTCGGCGTAACTTGTGACGCATTAGTGCCGTATCAGAAAAAAGTGGCGAATCCACAGACCAAATCGTGCTTGATGTCGCTGGGGTAGTGGGGGCTGAAATTACCATTGATGACATGGATCGGTCGCACAGGGCAAAGTCATTCAAAGCTACGTCTCCAAATATGAAACCAAGGGACATCATCGTAAAATTTGTGAGTTATCGTGCTAGATCTAAACTTCTGAGCAATAAAAACAAATTAAAAGTCTCAAAGTTTATTAAGGCGT